AAAATGGTCGTATTTAAATCAAGTGAAAAGTCTTAACAAAATGGATTTTTCCATCATACATACACTACGTACATATAATGGAAATATTCAATTCAAATACGCTCGTATTAAAATGAAGCATTTTTCACTACACGGATGGCGTTTTGCACGTCTCGGATGCTTTTTCATATGTAATTAAGAAGGTATATGCAGTGTTGCCATTTTAGCCGTTTTCCGGCTAGATTTAGCCGGTTACGATAGCAAACAGCCGGAGAAATTTCGATTTAGCCGGCAGCCGATTTGTTAGCCGTTTTGCAGAAAAAAATTTGCCGTTTTTAGCCGATTTTGCTATTTGCCTTGTTTTCTTAAATTTCAAATATGTATATATGTTTCCATTTTTGACTAAGCGACCCAAAATCTGTTAGAAATGGCTACTAGCCTTATCATGGAGAAAATTTTCATGTCAGGCAGGGTTGTATGAAATTGGGCCGATTTCGCTTATTTTTATTTTAAACGAAGAAGGGATTTCTTCATAAAATGTTTGTTATAAATGTCTTAATTTTAAGTGTGAAGTTTTATACGCAAACTTAGAGAATAAGAAATTGTTTCACTGTTAAGACACTTGAGATGCGTTTGTGTTTGGATATAGTGCCAACAAACAGAATAAATATTACATGTAGATATTGTCTTCCCAGATAGCGCATATTCAATTCTGCCTAAATTACAAAACATCATTTTTGCCCACTCTCAAAGGTTTAAGGTAAGGGAAAAATTTATATTTTCAAGCACTATGTACACATATGTATTTTTTTAAACAAACTTTTTTTGCTGAGAACTTATTTAAATTCCAAAAACCGAATGCCAACTTGACACAGTGGTCTTGAAACAATGATAGGTATGACTAAAATGCCAACCAAAACTGCTTGCATACCTGTTTTGGAAGGCACCCATACACCATTATGCAGTTGGAATTAAAATCATATCTGCTCCTATGCCTAAAATATTGTCAAATGAAAATTTGGAAAAAATTTAACTGCAATTGTTAGTATTTCTTGTTGAACAGAGTATTCTAAAGTTATCGTTTTGTATATTAGTGTAAAAAAAAACAGATAGTATTTTTCTCGATGATAATTGGGGTGTTCACAGTTCGTTCCAAATTGTGTCTGAAAATGTAGACGTCTACATTTTGAGACATCTTTAGCATCAAACTGTGAGCACCCCTTTCTAGCAGTCGTCGCAAAATCGTCTCAAAACTTTGCTGGTGTTGCCAGACATTTCTTCTTTGCGTGCTTTTTTATATGTCGCCTTTCGATTTTGTTTCTGAAAAATTGTTATTATTTAACTTAATTACCAATTCCTAATATTTGTTATTTCTTTGCATTGATTTGTTTCTTTTCATCAGAAATTGCGCTCAAATTAAATGCAAATACAGAAAACGTGCCCAATAAATAAAAAAAAAATGCGATTAGTATTGCCATAATGCAACCCTGCTGCGAGGTTGCAAAATGTAGACGCGTAAAAAACATACTTTTGAGTGTGACAAAATGTAGACGGCGTCGTTTTCCAATTTTGTATGGGAAACAACAACACCACAGATTTTACGGTTAGAAAACGTCTTAAAATGTAGACGTCTACATTTTGAGACACTATTTGGAACGAACTGTGAACACCCCAAATATTTCTGGTGTAAGCTATTTGATTGCACATCATGTCTTCTATAAGTCATCCGCAACATAAGTGTAATCACGAAGAGAACAGATTTAAAGTGTGCGCGCCTTGTGGGAGAAAGATTAAATTCGGATCGTCAAAACCTTCAGAATTTAATATAACCGGAAAATTGGAGTGTCTTATTAAAAAATACGTTAGTGAAAATTTTAGATTGACCAATTCGAAGTTCCCATTAGGCATTTGTGGTACATGTCGTAGGGTTCTCTGTGACCGAGATAAGGATATACCAAATGCAACGCGGCCTCTTCCAAACATGTCTAACTATGAAGATTCGACAAAAGAAACAAGAACAACTTCATGCTCTTGTTATATCTGGCTCACTGCTCGGGCAACCAGCCATCCAAAAGTTATACAAGGGAGAGCACATACCTTAAATGTATTGAGTGAAAAAAACTCCACCAATGGGTTGACTGCTTTGTCAGTTGGGTCAGAATTAAAAAATCATGTAAGTAAACTCGCTAAAGCCTTCCGAAGCACAGAAATGTCGGAAACATTAAAAATTCACGTGCTTCTAAATCATTTGGAACATTGTCTGCATTTTTTAGGCAACGACAGCTTCGGAATGTGGTCGGAGCAAGCTGAAGAATCCATTCATGGCGTATTTTTAAGATTTTGGCTCAATTATAAAGTTAATTCGATTGACGACCCTAAATATATAATCAATTAAAAAAAAACTGTCGTTGAATTTTCATCAAAACACATATGAATTTATATAAAATAATATTTTATATTGACTTTGTAAATTTATAAAATTTATGCAATAAGAATTATTAAAATATGCAATTATGTAATATTATCTCTTGAAGAACTAAGTTAAAATATTTTATGCTTATATAAGAAAGTGTTATAATTATATTATCATAGACCTTCGCGATTATATAACTGGATTTGGAAAGTTCTAGATCAACATTTTATAATATTTTAAGCATAGGAGCAGATGGAATTTTATTTTCAACGAAATTTTGATCTATGATTATGTACAAAGACAGTTATGTAAGCCGTTTTGGTTGGCATTTTAGTCATAGCTATGGTTGCTTCAAGACCACTGTGTTGAATTAAAGGAACCAACACTGAAGTGAGTCAAAATGAAAATAAAAGAGCACAAATTTCTATGTAAAGCAAAACTCTCTGGGAATCCTACGATACATCTGCCGGTCATCTAAATGGGAGATCTGCAGTCTTTTGGCATCATATTTTACATCAGAATTGAAGGGGTTTCTCAAAACTCTGACCAGTTCTTTTGTGTAACTGTGATTTTGCATCCCTTGTCAACATATGGCCTCGGTTGATGTTAACTTAAGGTCGTTGTTTTACTGCCTTAAAATTGAAGGGAACTTTTTACAGCGTTTTTTATGTGTATTGGTTTCTATTTGAGTGTATTGAGAATCGGTCAGTCTGAAAAGGCCTTGTAGGGAAGACAATAGGTTTGTTCGTCGAAAATCCAGCGTGAATTATCACTCAAAATATCAGATAGTAAGAAAAAATGCTCCCAAATTCTGTCTCATTTAGAGAAACTTGCAATTTTCTGTACGAAGACAAATTTGCAAGTTTTTCTGCCAGCTAGTGTCCACGGTTGCATTTCAAACAAAAGAAATTTGTATACATTTAATTACATTTTTAATTTTAAAATCGCTCCAGTTTGTAAATTTTTAAATTTAACGAACTTGTTTAATCAAATTATCGTCGACAAAAAATCCAACCATGTGCCACAATCGTATGTTTTTCCTAATTGCAAATTCTTGCTGGCAAAATTTTTTCCGGCTCGAATTTGTAACTTCTCTCCAAGAAATAGTCTTTTTACTCGTGATTTATTTAAATAAAACATGTGAAATTTAGTTGAAACATTTTAGCCGTTTTTAGCCGGTTTTATTTGCCAATTTAGCCGGTTCGTCCAAAAAGTTCTGGCAACACTGGGTATATGTATGCAAAGCATGCACAGTGGTAACAACACATACACACATACATGGTATGACATAATGCACTAATCGCGCGCTGTGATGTTGATTCAAACTCAACATTTGAAAACGCCTTTACATGTATGGCTGTAGCTGAGTGTGCAAAGACGCTTGATACAATTGGTTGCGGCCAAGAGGGTCCGGGTTCAATTACCATCAGACGGAACATAAAATAAATTTTTTTTCTTCTTAATTACGAAAAAGCATCTGTGCACTTCAAAACTACATATTTTATAACGTATATACTCAAATTTAAAACGAGTTGGGTTGGTGCTCTTTCATATGCGTATTTTTTCAATTTAGCACGTTTTTTTTATTCTAAAATTTTTTCCCCTCATTGCTGGAATGTGAGTTTATGACATTCGATACGATACTAGGGTTCTGGTACTCGATTCCAAAAAATATCGTTTTAAAACTATCGAGTAGAAAATATCGGTATCGAATGCCAAAAGTATCGATAGGGTATCGTAGCGTATCGAAATTCGTGTCCCTAATTCTTGTATATATATATATATATATATATATATATATATATATATACA